TTTTGTTCATTCTTTTGTGTTTTGAGTAGAAAAAGGAATAAAAAGGAAAAACAAAAATTTTGCTCAAAAGGTATCACGAGGGCTTCCCTGGTGGCGCAGTGGTTGAGAGTCTGCCTGCCGATGCAGGGGACACGGGTTTGTGCCCCGGTCCGGGAAGATCCCACATGCCGCGGAGCGGATAGGCCCGTGAGCCATGGCCGCTAGGCCTGCGTGTCCGGAGCCTGTGCTTCGCAATGGGAGAGGCCACAACAGTGAGAGGCCCGCGTACCACACACACACAAAAAGGTATCATGATATATTGGTATATTGGGCTCATGATATATTGGGAGAAAAATTTAAGCAGATAATTAAAATCTAATATGATTATTTTTGTTTTGGATTTTTTTTCTATAAAGAAAACCTCACTATTAAAATCACTGTAAGGAAAAAACAATTTAAAAAAACAACAACAAACTCTGTTAAGATGGAATTCTAATAACCTTTAACACCCAACTTGATTTTTTTCCCTGAAAACAACTGTTTTCTAATACTCTTTGTGGACAATTCAGCTCTCATATTGAGAGGTGCATCGTGCTGTAATTAAGAACATGGACTCAAGAGACTCCTATCTGGCCTCAGTTCCATTTCTGCCACCCTCTAGCTGTGACTTTGGACAAGTTACTGAGACATTTTGTGCCTCAGTTTTGCCATCTGTAAAATGAGATGATCATAGTAGCTATTGTGATGAAGTTACTATGAGGGTTAAATTAACTCCTAATTGTGAAGTGCTTAGATCAATGTTTTGCAGAGCAATATTCAAAAAGGGGTATTTATCCTTATTATTGTTAATATTATCATTTCACAGCACAACAGACTGTTCTCCTACATTTATATTGCTTTTAGTTTTACACGGTACTTTTGCATTCCTTATCCAAACTGATCCTAAAATCATCTGCTAGGATGGGGAAGAGAACACTGCCCGTTACGTGCAAGGAGCCTGCATGAGGGAAGTTGAGACCGCAAGTTTATTTCATGGCACAGGAATCTTTGTTCTCCCTCCGTGCCAGGCTGGAAGTCCAAATGGGCTTGATCTTTATGGGTCACTTGGTCTTCATTTTATACCTCTCATCAGTTCTTTCACGGTAACTAGACTGAACAAGGATTCTGGGGGAAGTTACAAAACCACCTCGTAGGAAATAAATTGGAGAAAACACTTCTATCCACATATCCAGAGGAGATAGCTCAACCGGTCTCTGAAGCAATTAGATAATACTTGCAATAATACCAAATTAGAATGAAGTCTGATGTGTCTAATCTGAGCCACTCTCAGGTAATTCTCACTGATAAGATTAATTATGTTTTTTGGTAAATTAGCCAGCCCCCAGTCCTGGAGGAATAGAGCTTACAAGAAGGCTGCAAGTCTTACATGATGGCCAGCAGGCTGCACCTATGAGATGGGGATGACATCATAACACTCTCTGCCCCATCGCAGTCATCAGCCAGTGCCCCATCTGCATTGAAGGCTAATAAATATGTATTTGAATGAATTAATCATAGCATTGTTTTAGGACTTGAATTCACTGATTTAACTAAGCACTATACATTAAAATGCCTGGTATATAGGCACTAAAAATGTCAATTTCTCCCTTTCTTTGCAAATAAAGATAATAGTACTGTACCGTTTCAATCAGATATGCATTGTTTTCATTTAATAATAAAGGATAATTGTTCATTGAATGACTAAAACTCTTTGCCCATCCAATGTATGACCTAGAGATATGGCTATATTTGAGTGCAAACGAAGCTGAGTAACCTTGTAATTAATATTGTTTTCTGGGCTTCCCTAGTGGCGCAGTGGTTAGGAATCTGCCTGCCAGTGCAGGGGACACGGGTTCAAGCCCTGGTCCAGGAAGATCCCACATGCCACGGAGCAACTAAGCCCATGCACCACAGCTACTGAACCTGCACTCTGGGGCCCACAAGCCACAACTACTGAGCCTGTGCGCCACAACTAATGAAGCCCGCACACCTGGAGCCCGTGCTCTGCAACAAGAGAAGCCACCGAAATGAGAAGCCCAAGCACCGCAACGAAGAGTAGCCCCCGCTCGCGGCAACTAGAGAAAGCCCTCAGGCAGAAACGAAGACCCAATGTAGCAAAAATAAATAAATAAAATAAAAGATATTTTATTTAATATCTTTAATAATAGCTTTAATTTTATCTTTAATATCTTTAATTTAATATCTTTAAGAAACTTAATAAAAAGATATTGTTTTTTATCAACTGAATCAGAAAGTTGAATTGGGTAAGTGGTTAGTGGTTAGTAACCAAGCTGAAGGCTACTCTGCTCCAGCCTGTTAGTTTATGCAGGAATATGACCACTGTGTAACCAGATAATTTTCAAGGGAATCCAAATCTGTAGATCATTATGTGGAGTTTCCAGTTTTGTTAAATATTGGCCATAAAATAAATTTAAGGTAACACACCAGGCCTCTGCTTCTTGCCAAAATAGAATAATAGGGATTGGATTTACTATCCCCCTTGAAACAACCAAAAAACCAGACACAATACTTAAGATGATATTTTTCAAAACAATCGACACAGTAATTAAAGACAATGATGCCGAGAGACGGGAAACATAGGAGAAAATCCATAAAAGAAGAAATTGATAAATTTGACTTCTTCACAATTTAAAACTTCTGCTCTTCAGGGGACAATGTTAAGAGAATGAAAAGACTGGAAGAAAATATTTGCAAAGCACATATCTGGTAAAGTACTTGTGTTCAGAATATGTAAAAAACTCTTAAAACTCAATAATAACAAATACTATATGATATCACTTATATGTGGAATCTAAAAAAATGATACAAATGAACTTATTTGCAAAACAGAAATAGACCCACAGACATAGAAAACAAATTTATGGTAGGGATAAATTAGGAGTTTGGGATTAACATATGCACACTACTATATATAAAATAGATAATCAACCATGACCTACTGTATAACACAGGGAACTATACTCAATATTTTGTAATAATCTATGAGGAGAAAGAATCTGAAAAAGTGATATATATGTATGTATATATATATATATATCACTTTGCTGTACACCTGAAACTAACACAACATTGTAAATCAACTATACTTCAGTTTAAAAAAAAACTCAATAATAAGAAAACACTCAGTAAAAATACAGAAAAGATTTGAACGGACTTCACCAAAGAAAATATACAGATGGCAAATTAACACAACAAAAGAAGCTCAACATTATTCGTCATTAGGGAAATGCAAATTAAAACCCCAGTGAGATACCATTGCAACCCATTAAAATGGCTTAAATTAAAAAGACTGGCCATACCAAATGATGGTAGGTATGTGAAGGAATTAGAATGCTGATAAAATGATGGTTGGAAATTTAAAAATTACAACCACTTTAAAAACATAGTTTGGTAATTTCTTAAAAAACTAAATATACACCTACTTTATGAGCTAGCCATTCCACTCCTAAGTATTTACCCAAGAGAGAAAAACACATTGTCCATACAAAAATTTATACCCAAATATTCATAGAAACTTTATTTGCAGTAGCCCCAAGATGAAAATAATCCAAATATACATCAATAGGCATATGGATAAACATTGTGGTATATCCATACAATGGAATACTAGTCCACAATAAAAAAGGAATGGATTATTAATACCTGCTACATGATGGATCTCAAAATAACTATGCTCAGTGAAGGAAAACAAACAGAAAGTTATATTCTGTATGAATCTTCTATAAATCTCTAGAAAATGTAAACCAATCTATTTTAGTTCATCTAGGCTGCTATAACAGAAATACCATAGACTGGGTAGCTTAGAAACAATAGAAATTTGTTTCTCACCATTCTGGAGGTTGGGAAGACAAAGATCAAGATTTGGTGTCTGGTGAGAACCTGCTTCCTGGTTCATAGATGCTGTGTCCTCACCTGGTGGAAGGGGTGAGGGAGCTCTCTGGGGCCTCTTTTATATGGGCACTAATCCTGTTCATGAGGGCTCTACCCTCCTGACCTAATCGCCTCCCAAAGGCCCCACCTCCTAATAAATACCATCACATTGCGGGTTAGGTTTCAACTGATGAATTTTGGGGAAACATAAACAGTCTACTGCACAATCCACAGTGACAGAAAGAAGATTGGGGGTTGCATGGGGATGGGGGTAGGGCAGAGAGGTCAGAAGAGACAGAATACAGAGGGATACGAGTATATATTTAGGGATAATGGATACGTTCACTATCTTCACTGTGGTGATCATTTGGCAGGTTTATGTGTACACAAAGTTCAAATTATACTTTTTAAGTATGTCTGAATCAAATATCAATTACACCTCAGTAAAGCTCTTAGAAAACAAAACAATAACATGGGTTTTAAAACGTAAACACCAGGCTGGCAACACACACATGGACGTCTGGGCTGTGGGTTTGCAAACTCCAACCTACGTTTATGACTTACTTTCAGGGAAATACGCCTGACCCCGAACACCTATACTAAACTACAAAAGGAAATGCTTGCTAAATGGGGGCATTTTGTTGGCTACTTTCAAACAAAGCAAGTACCATTTCCAACTCTTTTTTGAATGGCACAAACCAACTCTTTCTGAATGGTTTGAGGGGCGCTGTGCAAAAGTTCTGATTAAAGTCCAGAATCTCTTAATAGCAAAAGATGGCAGGTGAGGCAGAACTCATTTTCCTTTTGATGTTCACACATAATTCTTATTCACAGTGGCAGGAATTATGGGCTTGATAGCACCATGAATCTCTGCTGACAAAGTCCCTTCCCTAACGTGACTTTGCTCATAGAAGGGACTCTTTCAATGACACGGAGCCATTGTTCACCAAAGGACTGGGGAGACATCTTTCTGAAAGATTCCACAATACGTGAAAGGAATGGAGATTTTCCTCAGAGTCGTTTTCATAAATGTATGAAGTAGAATAAAAAGTTCTAAATCAGCGTTTAGGAACTTACTGAAAGCGGCCATGTATAACTACGGATTGAACAAGCTGGCTTGGCAGAGTGCACAGAGCTTTTTATTCTTTCTCCCTCTGCCCCATTAAACCCCTTCTCTATGCAGCTCCCTTTTCTATGCTGGATGAAGTCTTCAGCAAGACACGTGCTTTTTCATGGTCTTTCATTCAGAAGAACGGTCACTTTGGTAATTAAGAAGATTCAGCCCAGCTATACGGAACCCCCATTCTTTCAGCCACTGTAAGGCTGGTCTGTCTCCCCTGACCTGCAGACCGGCTTCTCGCCTCTTCCTTTCTGCTGTCTCTTCTTCCTCACCAGCACCCATACACAACTGCTGTAGAGTTTGATACACCGGGGAGAGAGGCGCAGTAAGAAGAGAAAAGGTCTTACCTGGGGGGACTGGTTGTTATCTGGCTTTGGACCGTCTCAGCGGAGTAGAGGAGAAATTTCTGGCTCTTTCTCTCACATGGGGTGCATTCTTGGGTTCCTAAGAGAGCTCTCACTGGGAGTCCCCAACTGTGTGCCCTTCCAAGGAGCAATGCCTTCTCTCTCAGCAGCTGGACTTCCAGGTGCCCATCTCTCTGTAGGTGTTCTCGGCTGGGTCTCTTTTACAACAACCCTAGGACAGCTCCCTTCGAACACGCCAATGCTGGTCCACGAGAAGCACACATTCTTATTCTGCAAACAGTAAAGGTACAGTCAGCTCGCAGTGCAGCCCCTCTCTCTTTGCTCTCCTAAGCTCTCCCTCCTCTGAACTTTCCTTCACTCAGCATCAGACACCGATTCCTACGTCCCCGAAGTCAAGGAGAACCTATGTCTAGTTCTCAATATGGTTCTTTTAAAAATCTCTCACTTGGCTAGAGGTAAGAAAGAAACAGCTTATTTATTTCTCCACTGTGAGGTGCAATTATGGAATACACAGCACAGCTACTGCTCTGCCCCAAATAGCACCAAGCACTGGCCCTTTAGTCCCTTTTGTGTAGCTGGCAGGTGGGTGACAGCCTACTGCTAGCAGGACGTCCAGGGTTGTAACCTCTTGACAAAACCTGCAAAGCTGGTGGAACCCTGACGTAAGATAGGAGAGAGTCTGCCTCCACTTGTCCATTTCTGAGCTTTGGAAAACAGGAAGGTAACCGAAGGCAATAGAAAAAGTCATATTTAACGTCACAAGTTTACACAGAAAAAAGGACACAAAATGAATGCTATAATCGTAACTAGCCGATATCTTTTCTCTTTCTTTTCTCTATGCTCCAATGATGAGATCATACTCCAGTTTTCAACTTAAAATTAATTCCATGAAAATCTACTTTATGAGAAGTTTTGAAAGTTTTCTTGAATTACCATTAATAAATGAAAATGTCTGGAAACATGACTCTGAATAACTTAAACTTAGTATCTCACTGATTATAACCTCAGTTTAAATTGTCTACAACATGCAAGCTAATCATTTAAATCATCTATAATTTTTGTGCTAAAATATCCAAATGTACAGGAAGGTAGGTTGGGAGTGGTATTCTTTTGTTTTATTTAAATTAAATAAATAATTGCCCAAATTACCTTCTTTAAGATTTGGGGAGCTTGGGCTAATTCAATTTTCACTGCCTGTTTAAAATGGGTTATGTCGAGGCTTCCGGGAAGATGGCAGAAGAGTAAGACGCGGAGATCACCTTCCTCCCCACACATACACCAGAAATACACCTACACGTGGAATAACTTCTACAGAACACCTACTGAACGCCGGCAGGAGACCTCAGACCTCCCAAAAGGCAAGAAACCCCCCACATACCTGGGTAGGGCAAAAGAAAAAAGAATAAACAGAGACAAAAGGATAGGGATGGAACCTGCACCAGTGGGAGGGAGCCATGAAGGAGGAAAGGTTTCCAAACACTAGGAAGCCCCTTCGCGGGCAGAGACTGCGGGTGGCGGAGGGGGGAAGCTTCGGAGCCGAGGAGGAGAGCGCAGCAAAGGGATGTGGAGGGAAAAGCGGAGAGATTCCCGCACAGAGGATTAGGGCCGACCGGCACTCACCAGCGCGAGGGGCTTGTCTGCTCCCCCGCCGGGGCGGGCGGGGCTGGGAGCTGAGGCTCGGGCTTCGGTCGGAGCGCCGGGAGAGGACCGGGTTGCTGGTGTGAACACAGCCTGAAGGGGTTAGCGCGCCACAGCTAGCCGGGAGGGAGTCCAGGGAAAAGTCTGGAGCTGCCGAAGAGGCAAGAGACTTTTTCTTCCCTCTTTGTTTCCTGGTGCGCGAGGAGAGGGGATTAAGAGCGCTGCTTAAAGGAGCTCCAGAGACGCGCGCGAGCCGCGGCTAAAAGGGCGGACCCCAGAGACCGGCACGAGACGCTAAGGCTGCTGCTGCCGCCACCAAGAAGCCTGTGTATGAGCACAGGTCACTCTCCACACCTCCCTTCCTGGGAGCCTGTGCAGCCCGCCACTGCCAGCGTCCCGGGATTCAGGGACAGCTTCCCCGGAAGAGCGCACGGCGCGCCTCACGCTGGTGCAACGTCACGCCGGCCTCTGCCGCAGCAGGCCTGCCCCGCCTCCGTGCCCCTCCCTCCCCCGGCCTGAGTGAGGCAGAGCCCCCGAATCAGCGGCTCCATTAACCCCGTCCTGTCTGAGCGAAGAACAGACGCCCTCGCAGAGGCGGGGCCAAATCCAAAGCTGAGCCCCTGGGAGCTGTGAGAACAAAGAAGAGAAAGGGAAATCCCTCCCAGCAGCCTCAGGAGCAGCGGATTAAAGCTCCACAATCAACTTGATGTAACTGCATCTGTGGAATACCTGAATAGACAACCAATCATCCCAAATTAAGGAGGTGGACTTTGGAGCAAGATTTATGATTTTTCCCCTTTTCCTCCTTTTGTGAGTGTGTATGTGTATGCTTCTGTGTGAGATTTTGTCTGTATAGCTTTGCTTCCACCATTTGTCCTAGGTTTCTATCCGTCCGTTTTTTTTTCTCTTAATAATTATTTTTTTATTTTAATAAATTTATTATATTTTATCTTACTTTATTTTATTTTACTTTATCTTCTTTCTATTTTTCCTTCCTTCCCTCCTTTCTTCCTTCCTCCCTCCCTCACTCCTTCCCTCCTTTCTTTCTTTCTTTCCTTCTACTTCTACTAATTCTTTCTTTCTACTTTTTCTCCCTTTTATTCTGAGCCGTGTGGATGAAAGGCTCTTGGTGCTCCAGCCAGGCATCAAGGCTGTGCCTCTGAGGTGGGAGAGCCAACTTCAGGACACTGGTCCACAAGAGGCCTCCCAGCTCCACATAATAACAAACGGCAAAAATCTCCCAGAGATCTCCATCTCAACAAGAGCACCCAGCTTCACTCAACGACCAGCAAGCTACAGTGCTGGACATCCTACGACAAACAACTAGCAAGACAGGAACACAACCCCACCCATTAGCAGAGAGGCTGCCTAAAATCATAATAAGTCCACAGACACCCCAAAACACACCACCAGACGTGGACCTGCCCACCAGAAAGACAAGATCCAGCCTCATCCACCACAACACAGGCACTAGTCCCCTCCACCAGGAAGCCTACACAACCCACTGAACCAACCTTAGCCACTGCGGACAGACACCAAAAACAACGGGAACTACGAACCTGCAGTCTGCAAAAAGGAGACCCCAAACACAGTAAGATAAGCAAAATGAGAAGACAGAAAAACACACAGCAGATGAAGGAGCAAGATAAAAACCCACCAGACCTAACAAATGAAGATGAAATAGGCAGTCTACCTGAAAAAGAATTCAGAATAATGATAGTAAAGATGATCCAAAAACTTGGAAATAGAATAGACAAAATGCAAGAAACATTTAACAAGGACCTAGAAGAACTAAAGATAAAACAAACAACGATGAACAACACAATAAATGAAATTAAAAATACCCTAGAAGGGATCAATAGCAGAATAACTGAGGCAGAAGAACGGATAAGTGACCTGGAAGATAAAATAGTGGAAATAACTACTGCAGAGCAGAATAAAGAAAAAAGAATGAAAAGAACTGAGGACAGTCTCAGAGACCTCTGGGACAACAATAAACGCACCAACATTCGAATTATAGGGGTTCCATAAGAAGAAGAGAAAAAGAAAGGGACTGAGAAAATCTTTGAAGAGATTATAGTTGAAAACTTCCCTAATATGGGAAAGGAAATAGTTAATGAAGTCCAGGAAGCACAGAGAGTCCTATACAGGATAAATCCAAGGAGAAATACGACAAGACACATATTAATCAAACTGTGAAAAATTAAATGCAAAGAAAACATATTAAAAGCAGCAAGGGAAAAATAACACACAAGAGAATCCCCATAAGGTTAACTGCTGATCTTTCAGCAGAAACTCTGCAAGCCAGAAGGGACTGGCAGGACGTATTGAAAGTGATGAAGGAGAAAAACCTGCAACCAAGATTACTCTACCCAGCAAGGATCTCATTCAGATTTGATGGAGAAATTAAAACCTTTACAGACAAGCAAAAACCGAGAGTTCAGCACCACGAAATCAGCTTTACAACTGCTAAAGGAACTTCTCTAGGCAAGAAACACAAGAGGAGGAAAAGACCTACAATAACGAACCCAAAACAATTAAGAAAATGGGAATAGGAACATACATATCGATAATTACCTTAAATGTAAATGGACTAAATGCTCCCACCAAAAGACACAGATTGGCTGAATGGATACAAAAACAAGACCCATATCTTTGCTGTCTACAAGAGACCCACTTCAGACCTAGAGACACATACAAAATGAAAGTAAGGGGATGGAAAAAGATATTTCATGCAAATGGAAACCAAAAGAAAGCTGTCTCATATCAGACAAAATAGACTTTAAAATAAAAACTATTAAAAGAGACAAAGAAGGACACTACATAATGATCAAGGGATCGATCCAAGAAGAAGATATAAAAATTGTAAATATTTATGCACCCAACATAGGAGCACCTCAATACATAAGGCAAATGCTAACAGCCATAAAAGGCGAAATCGACAGTAAATATTCATAGTAGGGGACTTTAACACCCCACTTTCACCAATGGACAGATCATCCAAAATGAAAACAAATAAGGAAACACAAGCTTTAAATGATACATTAAACAAGATGGAATTAATTGGTATTTATAGGACATTCCATCCAAAAACAACAGAATACACATTCTTCTCAAGTGCTCATGGAACATTCTCCAGGATAGAGAATATCTTGGGTCACAAATCAAGCCTTGGTAAATTGAAGAAAATTGAAATTGTATCAAGTATCTTTTCCGACCACAATGCTATGAGACTAGATATCAATTACAGGAAAAGATCTGTAAAAACTACAAACACATGGAGGCTAAACAATATACTACTTAATAACGAAGTGATCACTGAAGAAATCAGAGAGGAAATAAAAAAATACCTAGAAACAAATGACAATGGAGACACAACGACCCAAAATCTATGGGATGCAGCAAAAGCAGTTCTAAGAGGGAAGTTTATAGCAATACAATCCTACCTTAAGAAACAGGAAACATCTCGAATAAACAACCTAACCTTGCACCTAAAGCAATTAGAGAAAGAAGAACAAAAAATCCCCAAAGTTAGCAGAAAGAAAGAAATCATAAAAATCAGGTCAGAAATAAATGAAAAACAAATGAAGGAAACGATAGCAAAGATCAATGAAACTAAAAGCTGGTTCTTT